AAGGATTTTCCAATGGAAATTAGGATCGTGGATCGGTTACTGATCTCGGATGATATAGATATTTTTAGTTAGACGAACAGTGTATCGATGTTAATGTATTAATGAACTTCTACGGCTCGGCGAAGCATACTGAAAAGACGAACGTATCAGTGAACAGTGACCATCGACGTCCGAATACCAAATGACCCGCCATCATGGCGCCAGCCATCACTCAACGACCGATCCCCCCGAAGATCCAAGATGACAAGATAACAAGATCGTAAAAGTTGACAGTCGCGTACCCTTGACGTCGGGCACTCGTCGAGCAATCGATTTCACGCCACCCTTCGCCTCTAAACTCGTTTCATAATCATAAAGGATAACTTCATGTCCGTGCCGCACAAAAGAACAAAGTTTCTAAAGGGACCAGTCTCGCATGATGCATCGATTGCTTACGAACGACGCTGCGGATCGAAAGCGAAGAGGATTCGTCGGGCAAGAGGAGATCGCAATCGAGCGACTTCTACTTTTGTGATTTTTTTCGTTCCTTCCCCTCAGCGTTCAGCTGTTCTCTCGGCCGGTGATTGGCGAACACAAGCGCGCCGTTCGCAATCGGCCGATGTAATGAGCCCGGCGGGTTGCAAAATATGTAGACGATCGCGGCAAAACGGGTCTTAGATTTATGTTTTCAGTGAGGCAACGCTCGCGCCGCGGCGAAGCGTCTCGTCGCGAAAACGGTCGAACGGGAGCGTGACGAAACCGACGTGTTATTAACATTGTTACCTCCCTCTTTGTCCGACGGTAAGATTTTTACGAATTATCGGGTTGCGCGATTTGCAAAATCGCTGCGGTACACGTGAACGTCGCTCGCTTATTTCCATGCGCTGTTTCGTGGGGGAGGGTAAGATCGAGTGTCCGGATCAAGCACGATTTTAATTGCGTTCACCTTAACGAGATACCGGTGTAATGGCTCGTTGATCGTTACTCGACACCGACGTAACGAACACGTCGCACTGTATCGACGCGTCGGGAAACGTAATGCGCGCTGTTATTAGAGGCATCCTTGAAACCGTGTCTCGACTATCGGAGAAACTGAAATGCTGAGAACTACTATGCAAAGTGACACATACCTGTACATTTTGAAACTTCTCGATTAAGGGAAAAGAAAAAAACGAGTCGATTTTCACGTGAAATTTATCGACAAGTTTCAATTTGTGGCATACAAATGTATGAAAACCTGTTATTTATGGGATCAACTGAACGTCTAGTTGAAAATTCAAGCTTTCCAACGTGTAAAATATTATTCGTCGACGTAGAATAACAGAAGTTAAAAGACTCGAGTAACGCAATCTGGTTAACGAAATCGCCAGAGATAATCTAAACGGTCGGGGATTTCAACGCGTGGTAGGAACGACATCGCCGGACGCAGGGTATTAAAGAGGTCGATGTACACGGAAAGGGTGAACGCGCTGCAACGCTTCAGAAAATCCGGTTTGCCGGATCGTAGGTGGTGTCCAGGAAAAAATAAGCTCGGAGAGCCCTGACGTCAGGCTCGATACAACTTGCAGAGTTCCTCGACTCGAGCCGAGGATTCCCGACAACAAAATCTAAGCGACGGTCTTCTTATAGAATATTCAGAGGATCCTGCATCTTAAATTAACGAACAGGAAAAGAACTACACGGTCCTTCATCCAATTAGACTCGGACGATCAAGCGAAAAATGCGAACGTGGAAGGATTCGTACACAAAAATTCTTTCCCTCGTGTCTATTAACATAATTTCGCAACTAACGATTTTATGCAAAAGGAGAACCGCAAGTCAAAGACGAGGAAACCGATTCACGAATTACATTCCTATTCCCGAGCATCATTGCCGAGGGAAATCGGTTTGCCGCGGGATGCACAAGGTGAAACCACGGAATCTGTTATCGTTGCCTTGTAACATATATCTTTTTATGATCGTACGTGTCCAGGTGTCCGCGGGGACGACGCTCATTAGCAGAGAACTAATCCTCGCTACCTCAAGTATCGGCGAACATAGCCGCAGGTGGCGCGGCTGACGTGGCGTTCCAGGACGATCCCATCGCGAAGGACCGATGCAACCGGTCGACGAATTAATCCGCGGCGAGCCGAATTCCAGCCGAGTCACTGGCTTCCCCGCAGACGAAATTTTTGCATAAACGACTGGGACGGAGCAAACAGAACAGCTGGACACTTGAAACCACTTGAATTTGGTGAACCAGTCATTAAGAAACGGGAGACGGCAACGCGAGACGACGAGAGGAGACAAACATCGATTAAAGAGTTCGAGATTTCCTGTTCTAAGAGGATCTTCGTTCACTTTAAACTACTCCGTGATGTTTTTTTTAGTAACTCTCAGTCTTCTTGTCTTCGAAGTTCATGATACTATAGAAAAGCTAACAGGCAATGGAAATAATCGTTTCGTATTAGACACTTTGCTTCTTGAACAGTCTTCAAATTTTCAAATTTCATTTGAAAATTGATTCGAATATCTAGACATTGAAACAAACGGTCTAGATTGAGTATCTTTCTTCGTCGAGTATTTAAGCGTTTCACGAGTGACGCCGATCGTTCGTCAATGGAAGGAGGAAGATGACCGAAGCTGGAATTGCTCGAATATCGACGACGAGGCGAGAGGAATAAACGTCAACCGTAAAAATCCGAGTTTCAGAGTGTCGCGTTACACGGGGCCAGCACAGGTGCGGCGCTTCGAGGCTGACCAGTGTATTGAATTCCAGAAAAATTCTGAGCGACGCCTCTCTTTGAGCGTCGCCCAGACCATTCTCTCCTCCTCGGTCTCGCTCGGACACGCGTCTCCGTCTCCCTCTGGCCGCGACGTGTCGGCAAAAATTTCGAGATATACACCAGAGGCCCCGCAACGAATACCTGTCACCAGCGACACCGAGTGCTGTCAGGTGTCGGGATTCAGTTATGAAACCTCCAGGTTCCGACCGATTCTCGGCGCCGTTCTCCTCCATTGTTTAGGATGCGTTGCGACAGATGCCGGCCGAAGGCTTTCAATCATGTTATCCTTTCGATGCGATTTACTCATATACCGAATACCTGTGACGGATCATGTCGCCTGTAACACTGCCCTTCTATAGTTTTGACTGCGGCACTCCTTGGCGTGCATTGAAATCGACTGCCTCCGCTCATTTCAGATTCACGGAGAGACTAATCGGTGGATCGCAGACTTCCATAGAAAATGAAATTTACTAGACAAATGAAACCAACGGCAAGTTTCCCAATGGCGCGTAATGTTGAAACTTTGCATTCGAATGCTCGCAAATATTAGTTAAAGCTACAACGCGAAGAAGGACGCGAAGAGCGCCGCGTTTAATATTCAAATGATGCGACCATTTCCAGCAGCCATTCTTCCTCCGCAACCCACACGGTTACACGTTTCCAAACGAAGCACCGGTCGTCCAGAGCCAATTAAAGGGTTGACGATTCTACGAGCGAAGGTCTCGCGTGCGAATGCGTCATCGACGCCCGATCGTGTTTCGAATTGTTCCCGAGATTGCGGAGCCGGTCGAGGGCCGTGTACCAGCGACCCCTGCCCGTGGCAGTCCCGGAAGATCGCGATCGTGAAAAATAGCGGGCGCAAGGCTGCTTCCACGTTACTTTCCGCCGGCCCAGCCACGCCCGACAGGACGCATAAATCGTGTCCGGGCGTTCCATTAGAGCCGGCCGATACCTTCGATCTGGAGCATAGCGCGCGCGGTTGAAAAAGCCCGGCGCGCAACGAAAAAGAAGGCAGCGGAGAGCAGAGAGGCCTCGGACCTTGGGCGGCGGCCGATCGGCCGAGCGCGGCCACGAAGGTAGGCCACCGCGGCGCGAAACTCGGCTGATTTACGTGCGAAAATGGCCAATTAACCGGCGTAATCGGGCCCGTGTGAGTAGGTGCGCGCGGGCGCGCGTGCGATCGCCGGGCCGGCCGAACCGGGGACCTCCAGTGTCGAAGTAAATCGCGGAAATGCTCCGTGGTTCAGCCGCCTGGCCCTGAAAACGTTTCGCGGCCGTGCACCTCTCGGGGACCGTGCTTCACGAAGCGAGGAAACGACGAACGAGGAGGCGGCGGCTGCGGCCGCGGCGCGCAAAAAATCACGCGGGAACGGTGTCCACCGGGCCCGACGGAATTCGAGAGTACCCCGGAGTGTTGTGCAACGATCAAACCGGAATGCGCCGGCTGCCTCGAGACGAAATCGCGTTCGATCGGAGAATGAGATTCCCGGGGAACACGCTTCGCTCCTCGCGGCATCGCTCGACGGGGTACACGCCGGTTCGTAGAGCTCGAGGAGATCCCGATGATCTATCGTTCTCCGGTTTCCAAAGGAGCTGGATGCTTCCACTACTAGGAAGAGAACTCGTCGAACAAGCGCGAGTAGCTCTCGCCGGGCGCATCATCGCGGTTGGTATTTCGTCGCCGTGACAAACAATGCCGACTACCCGCAGATGGAACCGCGCTAGAACAATGCGAGCGTTGCGACACCGTTTCGAAAACGCCGGTATGCAAAGTTCGTCCGCGGCGCGAGTGGAAACGAGGGACCCGACTGAATACAATGCTCCCGTTGCTCGCCGGTTTCGTTATCGCTTGGCAGGAGCGCGCGGCTGGTAGCTAATTAATATCGACGATGAAATCCGCCGCGGGAAAGACGTGGAACTCTCGCGGGCCCGTCTGTGTGAGTGCCCGCCGAACGGGGAGTAGGGGGATGACGGTGTTTGGTTTCGCTTAAAATACACCGTTTTAAGTGGCCACTTAATCTGCTTATTGGTCAATCCGACCGCGGGCCTCTCTCGAGGCTCGTCGAAACAGATGGAACGCTGGAGATACCTGCCGGGTCTCGCCGGCGCATGTAGAGTAATGTTCCCCCGGCGACAGATAAACGACACGCGGTCCCCCGGCGGAGGACATGCGGGCGTGCGCGGTGGAGGTGTAATCGGCGCGACATTATCGCTTATGCAATCAAAAGCTTCACGTCGATTTACGTTGGGTTTCAGATCGAGGCGACGGCGACCACGACGGCGGTAGCGGGCAGCCCGCTTTCCTGGCACATACCAAGGCCGTCCTTGGTCGGCCGCAGCGAGAGGGACAGCGAGAATGGTAGCTGGGCTCATCATCTGCACCCGAACTCGCCTTCACGGGGATCCACGTCGTCGCAAGGATCCACCGCGAGCACACATGTAAGAACTCCGTTGACGACCGACGGAGAGACTGTTGACAGACTGTCGACAGGTCGACAGACGTGACCTGACGCGCTAGATCTATGGATCGCTTGTTCCATCCATTCTGTATCTGCTGCGAGCTATCAACGCTGAAGCGGCTGACTAACCATGCCTTCTTACTCGACGAAACTGAAGACTGGACTGTTACAGGTTACTCTGAAAACTTAGGGGACTTGCTGGATCTCGAGTATTTTTATTGAGCTAGGATCTTCGATCCTAGGGAAGTAGAGTGTGTCACGTGTGGTTTGAATAGGTTTGTATCTTTTGTACTGCAGCTGATATCGGCGAGGATCGCAGGAGTCCTGAGGTTGAGCATGTCCTCGGAAAGGACTCGATGTCAAAATCTTTTGAATACTCTTTTATTCGACATTACTTTATAATGTTAAGGCAATAACGATGACGATGAATCCCGCTTCAGGCTTGAGAGAGTTAAAAATCCAGGACTAGACGAGACGTGCCAGATTCCTCGAAAGAAACTTCTCGCTCAGAAGCGAACAGACGAGACACCGACTCCGACAGTCAACTTTCACGCGACCATGATGAATTCGATTACAATTCGGCAATAATCGTGCCCGGGTGACGTTCCACGCGATTTCGAGTCGACTGATTGATGAGACTTCGGATCGCTCGGTCTGTTGCAGAGTGCCGCGTCGGGCACGTTGCTATTGACAGCCGCGAACCTTGCCAATCTCGCGGCTATTCATCCGCCCACAGTGACGGCGCCGAAACAGATGGACACCGCCTCGGTAGCGAGCAGCACCCACTTCACCGTTGTGAACGGCCTAGGCAGACCCACCACCGTCTACAGGAAGTCCTGCTGCGCGAGGAACCAGCTCACCGTGCTCGTTTGCACGATGAGCTTCCTATTCATGGTTGGCCTGCTTCTCGGGATCCTTTACATGGAGAGTGAGTATCTCGCGTCGTTGTTCCCCGATCGAGATCCCTCCCCGTGGATTCGATCTTATCCGGAGTCCCGTCCAATTAGGTTACACCGAGCAAACCAACATTAACAATGTTAAATGTCTCTGATAGACGCTGAATGATTTTGCACTTTCGAGCAGGAAGACTCGAGGCTCGGACTGTAGTATCTTGTTTGTAACTCTTCCTGACTGATTTTCACCGTGTTTTACACTTTCACTAGAATAGAGGCTACGTCAACAATAGAATAGTCAATGGACAATAAATAATTCCTACTCCCATTGATTCCCTATGAAAGTTCAGTATGTTATGATTTATTGTTCATCGGTCTCTGTGCAATTTCCTTCTGGTTCCAGTGAGAATTCGCGACAAATATCACTAGACCTAAGCAGACAGGCAACCACGGACGACCAGGTGTCCAACGAACAAGGCGGAAGGATGCGGACAACGGAAGAAAAGGAGCCGTGATCGTTGAAAAGAAGAAACGAACTGAAATTATCGAACGTCCCTGATCACGAGCGATCGAGTTGCTTGTATTCACGCTGCGCATGTATATTCCGACCGAGTTTAGGGTAGAGGAGCTCTCGATTAGACGTTCTCGATTAGAGATAATGTTTCAAAGGCTGTATTGCACCGTGTTCGACGTGCGGTACGTGAAAACTCAGTAATTACATTCACGTAATGAGCATAGCTTTTAGTAATTGCGGCCAACTCGAACGAGATCCTATCACGTTTGGGGGCGCTTAAATATTCCACGTGGAGGGGGTTGACTTCCCCTAATTTCGACGAGTATTGTAGAACCCTTATCTCCCATATTTCTTCTATTTCTCTTTTCGAATAAGAAAGACGACGATTCGACGAGTGTTAATAGCTTTTTCGGTCTAAATCGTACTGGTTCCCCTTCTCGTAAGAGATCCTGCAATCCAGAGATCGTGGATGACAACGAACAGTGATCACTGCGAGTTCGATGGTTGCTCGGATCGCGGAGGACCAGGACGATTAGATTGTAACGCGTTGAATGGTTACGGTATCGTCGTCGTCGGCGAAATTTCGTTAAATCGTTCCACACGCATACGCGAGCACTATACTTCTTCGACTAACGCTGACGGACAGTGCGCGAGGCAATCGACGATACGGGAATGTAAGATTTAAGCGGATGTTAATTTAGGGGTCGTTATTTAATTGTAACTAACAGAAACGATGAATAAAACCTGGATCCCGACGGGGTGTCGTTCCGGGCATTGTACGGAAAAGCAACGAGAAGCGATCGCGTCGATCGTTTTTCGCAACTGTGATATTACTTGCGTATTAATTAATCGTCGATTCAACAAGAAACTGTAGAACCATAAGGAACACGAACGTTGTTTTTATTTCACCTTAACCCTTAACCCCACGCCCAAGTGTGCTGATTAAATCGGAGATCTATTTAAAGAACGTAAGTAACTTGTCGACTAATCGCGCTACGCTGATAAAACGTATACTACCGATCGATGTTATAGTAATCAGTAAATAAAATGAATTCACTAGGTACTAGAAATAATTAATTATGTTACATAGAAAATTAATTTTTTTCCCTACAATTTGACCTTGAATCTTTAGTGAAATGAAAGTCTACTCAATCAAGAAAATTATTTTATTATACTACGTATAACATTAATAATCACTATAGTAACTCCTCTATACAATTTCAAAGTCAAAAGAATTGATGACGTTAATATACAAGCGGTTGGAAGTACTCACCTCTAGGTCCTGAAGAGTCTGAGTCCATCTGTAGTTTGGCATGTCTGCGCCGTTTCCAAAGTTAGGCTTGAGTTTACCCTTTTCCTTTTCATCTTCTTCTTCTTCCTCCTCTTCGGGGTTTTCCTCCTTCTTTTCACTGTCAGCATTGTCTCCGCTAGGCCCAGGAACTGCAGGTACTTCTTTCTCTGATTTCTGAGACAAAGAGTATAAAAAAAGAGAGAAAAAAATATAACTGTAAATCACATTTCCGCGCACAGTGGTTAATAGTAATTATATACAAACCTTATTATCTATTTCTTCTTGTAACTTGACAGCTTGTTCATCAGTCAATTCAACGATCTTAGACTCTGCATTAATTTTCTCTTGTTCAGCCTCCTCCTCTTTCTTTTTCTTTTCCAGTCTTTCTTTGCGTCTTCTCTCTGTCTCAGCGCGTTCTGCCTTTTCTTTGGCAGCCGCTGACACTGCTGTGGCCTCGTGTTTCTTGAATGTGCTAAGGACAAGCTGAAATACAATGAGAAGAAACCAACTACAGTTATACCATTCGTGTAGCTCATTGTGAATTCATAAAATTCCCTGATTTCTTGTGGCAAGCGAATATGGTGCAACATCAGTAACTCAAGCACAGAATTACCTTCTCTGCAGCTCCCTCGCCGCCACCGACGTAAAAGTCTGTTTTCCTCCCAAGGAAACCGAAGATCGTGTCCAACAACTGGAAAACAAAAGCGAATACGTGAACGAACGGGGATTTCTGTTGAAATAACAGTGATGATACAGAGCAAGACATAACCTAAAACCGGCAAAGAAACTGCTACTCACCTCGTGAATGCCGCCTTCGTGTTGCTGGGCCATAGCGATCAGCATGCCGTCAAATTTCTCTGTGTTATTCGACATTGTTCGTTAAGCTTCACCGAAAATAAACCTCGAAACACCGATCAACACACGACAAACGTTCCGCACTGACGTTGAAAACCAGCGCACTTTGTTGCCACACCACGTTTCTACTACGAAACGTCTCGAATTATCGACCAAACAGTATGTCGATTAGTACACGCAGTGCCCTCTGCCATTTGAAAAGCTCACCGTTCACCAAACTGCTATCTGCAGCATTAAAAAAAATATTTTTTTTTTTAAATCTTTTTAATTCATATATTTTCAAAATATTCTAGATTTTGTCTGTTAATATGAAACTGGATTTTATTTGGGATATTTTAAAGATAGAATAGAAGATATATCTTAGACACGTTCATTCATCAAGCTGAGGGTAATAAAAAGGAAAAGCAATTACTGAAATTTTCAAGTATTTCCAGTTCTCCTCTCCGACGAAAGTCTCTCGTTCTCGCGTAAGGCGAGATTTTTAATTTCTCGAGAACGATAATCTCTTATTTCAGCGTCGAAAACGCGGACGGGGTTTCGCGTTAACGAGCACGGAATTATTAACTGGCCCGACCGAAAATTTATGCAAGGCTGTGAAAAAAGTAGGTTAAAGAAGTGAAAACAGCGTCCTTCGGGCGCGCGAACGCGACGCCGTTACAATTATCGTAAACAAATAATTTTTTCCACGCCGAAATGATTCATTAGTGAAAGCAGTCAGTCGCCGCGGTCCTGTCGGATGCACTTTGCCATGCACGTGGATTTTCTTGCCCGTAGCCCCTTCGATCGTGTCGCAATTCGAATAATGAACTTCGGATTCGGTAAATGGAGCCGATAATTCATCGGAATTCCGCCGGGATATAAAAGGAAATTGCAGATTACTGCGATCACGAGGGACTTCAATTAGCGGGGAATTAGGTTGTCTATTGTCTTTCTTTCTCTGGTAGCACAGTTCACGCATAGGTTACAGTTTCAACGCGATTATATGTATGTACAGCTTCATTTCGAGTAAAAGATGGCGTACAATAGGTGTAGAAGGTTTCCAAAATTGATCCTGCAAACGCCTCCAGGCATTGGTCCCGGAACCTATGATCTATCGGATCCAACTTGTCCTCCTAGACTTCTTGGTACAGTTACAACTAACCTCTGCAGTCTTTAAATATTCTTCAATAATTTATTACACTTTCAGCTGAAAAATATCCTTTTTTATGCGGAGCAAAAAGACAAACTATGTCTATATCGAAAGATGCGCAGCAATTACCTGGTCCTGGTGCTTACAACATAAAGAATCCGCAAAGACACATACCAGAAAGTAGTTTTTAAAGGCTAGTGATTCGAGTTTAATTAATGTCGAATGAAAATATTAATGATCCTAGGGTGGCGTTAGCATTGACTTTACTGATGCAAGGTTCAAGTATACAGTTCACGAAGGACCTGGTCCGATATACGATGTCTCAGAGGATTTGCTTAAGCCTCGGAGAACAGAGTCTCAGTCTTGTAACTGTCGAGGTCCTGTAGGAAAAGTAATCACTTCGAAATGTAGATTCTTCCTTCGAGAACGGGTCGTTTTAATTGTTTCTTTTATTAACTCAAGCTTTGGCTGACTCGTCCTCCTCATTCTCCTTTGCCACGACCTACGTCAGTGCCAGGAAAACTTGATACAGGTTACGATATCGATCAACACGGCGTTCTCAGGAAGAATCCTCCGATGAAACATGTGCCATCTTGCTTCTACGATGTTCCTCGCGAGGTATTCTCTAGATAATTTGGGTGAAGTAATATATTATGGATGGATTTTCGTAAATATTGCTTGAAATTGTTACCTACACAATTTTTAGGAAACGTGTTACACCACTTTAAAGTATAAGGGAAATTTCTGGAGCAGAATGACAGGCAGAACTGATGCACGATCATCTTCGAATCCAGGTCCGGGATATTATGAGCACGAGACGACGAAAACTGCGGCTCAGATACGTGACGAAAGAATAAGGGAGGCGAAGAGGGGCACTGCTAAGCAGCTGCGCTTCCTGGACATCCTGTCTAGAAGAAAATTGCTCGAAGTAACTTTCAATCGTGACTAGAATCTTGGAATAACTTTCTAGAGGTTATTAGTAACTGAAGATGTTCAGACTGATTTTATATCCTTAGAATTTTCCAGCTCCGAATAGCTACAATGTGAAGGGTAATTTCGACAGGTTCCTCAAGATCGCTTGCAAGTGTGATCCTTATTTATGCAAATTACCACCTTTTGGACAATCTGCCAAAGTAGGGTGAATGTTAAAATATGTGGTTATTATAAAAAGGTGTGTCTTATGTCACTAGTGTCTTTGTTTAGAGATTTGATTATAAGAGAAAAGATCTACCAGGACCTGGAGCGTATGATCCAGAGGATCGAATGAAATGCGTGACTTCTATTTGTAACGCACCATTCGGTTCTTTTAGTCGACGCTTTCATAAGATTACTGTAGAACCTGGACCAGGTAATGTATCTGGACTTAATTAATTAAGAAGGAGATTAGTATTTGCTTCGCAAACAAATTGGATAATGAGATATTCGTTCCAATGTTCACGAAAATTGATGGTACTTTATCATGCCAGCACGGTTCCCTTTCAGCTCCTAACGATTACCACACGGACGTCGGCAACTTGGCTTACGAGTCGCAGAAGCGATTTAAACAAACCTCTAAGCCATCGTATTCACATAAATCCTTCAATACTATTTCAACACTGTACAAAGACGAGGAAGATTCTGAAATTACTAACATTCCAAAAAGAATCAAACAGAATAGGAGTAAAGTCTACCATGCTGCCTTCAAATCAAAAGCAGCCAGATTTCCTGCTCACAAAAAGGTAAACTCAATTCACCTACATTCTCAAGCAACTTCCTTTCCCATTCACTTCCACGAATAATTATTTAAAAAAGAAATCATCAGTTGATAACCATACAGCGACAGGTAAAACAGACCGAATCGATACGAACCGTACACCACAGAGGACTCGGACAGCCGTAGATGTCACCACCATTACGAACTCCCACTTCGACTTGCACTTTCAAAAATAAATTACAAATCCACCCCCAAACGACGTTACAACATCAGTGAAAAAATCCAGCCTGAAATTCCGAATCTACCAGAATCCAATTAGTTAAAAGGAAATCTTTACGTAGCCCTATCAGCGAAGTCAGCTTTAAATCATCCCCCTCCCGTAGCCCCCATCAAAAAAGGGACATCCTCGGAAAGCTGACTCAGTCGGCCGCCTCCCGCAAAAGGTCAGATTGAAAATGTTAACCGGGAGCCGAGCAATCCCCTTAATGAGATCGCGAGAAAACGGGGTGGGGGGTAAATTCGAGCCAGTAGTCACAATAAGTCTGCGGTCGGACCAGTAGCCGAAGGATTCTTTCGGTCAGGGAGCTCGCAGGACTCGGAGGAGCCAGGTAATCCTGGCCGCGCGAGGTAATCAGGAGGAGGTCGGGGACGAAATTAATGGCGGCGGATCGAAGCGATGCGTCTGTACCCGGGGCGGTTCCAGGCCGGGATCCAATTTGCCCGTTAATCGAGAGAAGGGATTCGTCGGTGCACCCGCAGATAGGCTAGAATGGGAACAACCGCGTTTCCGGTTCTGTCGCGATACTCCGGTAACCGTCTGCTTTGAGCCCGCCGCTGCTGCGACGCTTACCAAAACCGGCTGAAAGGCGGAATCCTTCTGTGCGGAGGTGGCATTTAGTCCGGCCACCCCCGAAAGTTTGCCGTTTGACGAGTGCATCACGGGAATTCCTGTTTTTCGGGCTCGTGTTCCCGGAATTTCGCGCGGGTTTCCGGTTCCTGCGCGCTTGGTACGGTGATCACGGTGAAAAGAGGAGCGGAATTGCGAGCCAGGGAATCTGGTAATGACAAGTGCGGGGCTCGTAGGGAGAAATGGGTATTGAAATGCGGCGCTCCAGTTGCTGACGTGAGTTTTCTAATTAGTATCTCGGTCCTTCTTCGAATCATCTATGCTTTCGATTAACTCCACCTCCGCTGAAGCTCGAATCTTCCATCCTCCGTCAGAGAAATATCCGTCCGTTGAATACGAGAGCTCTAAATCCCAGGCAATTATCATACACAGTATCCTCGTCGTTCGAACAGTCGGGACCGTACCGAATAATGTAATTCAGGACATAAAGACTAAACTCGAATGGAAACCATCAATTTACAGCCCTCCACCTCCGACGTACCATTCCAGTCACCCATAAAGGTAACAATGTCCCGACCGGCATCACCGTTTCGTCCATCTTACGTCAGCCTCGCCGCCTGCCGTCGTGCCGCTCGACCCACTCCTCTCGCTCGGAGCGCAGTTACGTTTCATACTTTAATCGATTCTAATTTTAACCAACTGGCTTTCGCGCGGCGGGTTTTACGGCTACGTCAACTGGATTTTATACGTGTCCTACGCGTCGGCCGGGGTTTATCGCGGCGCGACGATAAAAGGCAGGAAGTAGGTGTCGTCGCGAATTCTTCTATTCGGCCGGGAGAGGATAAGGTACGGAGGATGTCCAAGGACGACGACGCCTCGTCGCCGGGGCCGGGGCCAGGCCTTCGTATTTACATAACGCGGGGAAAGCGTCGTAACTCGACAGCGCCGGAAATGACGTGCCGCCATGCTCTGCAGGTCATTTCCACGGCAGAAGCGCGTGGCCGATGTAGCCAGGAGAAATCA